TTTTTTCCTAATTTATGATTTCTTTTTTCAGTGCGTCCCATATTAAGTGATTTATATTAGCACAAGTTAAAGCATTATTTCTAGTAACATAACATACAGCAAAATTTGTAGGAAAAATACAGTAACTCTTCGAAGCCGTTAGATCTGATCCATTACCTTTCACTTTCTCATGATCAAATTGGCTGGATCCTAGCTTATCCCTAAAGCCTAACTCGACCTCCTATAGTGATTCTCGCAATTTAGTAATATGCTCCGTCGATACGCCTTTGTTCTCAAACAGAGGAAGAGAGTGAAGAGTATGTACCTACATTTTGCGTTATTTTCAGATATTTAGCTTTTTTTCTTAAAAAGGAAGAGATGTTTAAAACTGCAAAAAAAGCAGTTTTAAGAATTTTGCAAAAATCTGTGTTCTACTGTATAGAATTTAAAAATGAATAACTATCCTTTTAAAATTTTAGGCCATGGATCCGAACTATTATGTGATGTATATGAACCAGAAAAAAATGAATAATATTTTCGTATTCCGATACGAGGACAACGGTGATAACTTTTAATATTAATATCGAATTTTTTCTGCTATTTTTTTGCTTTGTATTATCAAAAAGTGAAAGGAATTTGTTTTTGATAAACATGTTAGAACTATAGTGTAGAACATCGATTTTTGCAAAATAAAGCCCATGCCAATAAAATTATCTCCCTCGGATAGGGATGTTATTGATTCGTGGTTTCGGTTTGATTTCGACGATGTATATGTCATCATGTATGATGTCGACGATGTATATGTAATCATGTATGATGTCGACGATATATATGTTATCATGTATGATCATGTATGATGTAAGTCTACAGATGTAGCAGAGATTGCTTTTCTAATGGTTTTCGGCGTACATTTCAGTAGCCTTAACCTTCTCAGGGATTTTATTAGTTGATACCTTGACTTGTGAATTATTATTTTTCTGCAAATTCCTTCATGGATTTTCTTGTGTTTTTCCACTTCTATGCGTTTCTCCACGAGTGAGAGTGGGATTTTCAAAATCAGATTTTTGGTTTTTAGTTTTCGAACCTACTATTGTGTCATGTGGCTCAGAATCAGTCTTTCAGATGTTTTCTGTTTAATATTTAAGAGGGCTTTTTTAAGACATGTCTTACAGTCTGCAGCATAATCGAAGCCTCCGTTACAGCAAGAAAATTTCCCAAGTTATTTCGTGTCACATTCCGAGCTTCTATGGGGCAATGCATACTTCACGCATTTCGAAAAGAGTTTGCACTCATTAATTTCTCCATGGACGCGTTTACACTCGTCCAAAGAGAGATAAAAATATTGACGACTGTGGCATTTCCCCACATCCCCACTGAAGTTGATAAGTTTCAAGAGAAAGATGAAAGTAGAGTTATTCTTCAATTTCATTGATGCGCTTTATCCTAGGCTCATTAACTCAGTGAACTTGAAACAGGGGTGTTGGGACTTTAATTTTAAATTTGTGAATTAGGCTACCCTGAAGAACATTAAAATTAGCAGCTTTTTCTTGATTTCTTCAGTCGTGCAATCCAAGGATATACCTCTCATAACCGCCTTAACGTGTTTCACTTAGTATTCACATAATTACATTATTCATATTATAATCATTTACTATTATTCACATTTTCATTATCTAATGCATCAGGTTTACTAGAAATATTAATAACGATGAGATTTTAAGAATTTTGTATGGGCAGGTGGTCTTCCTATGGAAAGTAAATCCGCTAGATGTGGTAGCCTTTCCCCATCCATGTTTTTTTAGCATTAGGCTTCTTAGAATTCGACGGCACTAATTTCAACAACATCTGAGAATAAGCCATAATTAGAAGAACTACCAGAGTTAGTTTTGGTAATTTTACAAGCATTAATATCAACATTAGAATTAATCACGCTAGATAAACCAATATTTAAAGCACCAGTAATAGACTAGTTACGTGCCCTAAAGAACTCGCACTTAACCTTTTAAATATTTAAATTTGATTTTGTTTCTTGAACTAACGCTTCTACTAACGTGCGAGATACAGTCTACTCCTGGGTTTCTCTGAGAAATTTAGCACTGGGGCGACGCATCTTTTCACCAAACTCCATTGAAATTCTTAGGAAACCAACTGCGTTGATGAAGTCGACTTGTTCGAATTTCTCTTCGCGAGAAGATCTTTCAGGGTATCCAAATCACTGCATGAGTCTGTGTAAAGTTCCACCCAATTCGCTATCATGCATGTGACTTGATTTCAGTAAAAAGCCTGGCGACTTCCACACAGGAGTGAAAAGTAATAAAATAGAAAAAGGGTGTAAATTGCCCTTTTATTTCTCAAACTCTTTAACAAAAAGGCAGATACTTCGTGCTCACAACACTGACTACTTGCAGTGGAAACTTAAGGATAATTCAATAATAAATTTAAAATGGTAACTAGTAGTGCTAGACTTTACTATTTACTTAAAGCTAAGAGGCTGACTCAACAACCTACACCGGCGATAAATTTAATAAACGGCCAGAATGGCTAGCCGCAAAATGGCTAGAATTTTTTGCCAATCAGTATCCTCGGAATCAACCTTGACTCGTCTAAACATTTTTTCTATATCGTTACTCACCGCAATTTTATTTAACCACTTATTTTTACGTACTTTCTACATTATTTATTGAATAATGAAAGAAAGTGAAAACTAAAGATCACCAAGGCAAGGCAACACATGATCACCAAGGCAACGGACGATCACCAAGGCAACAGCCGATCTTTTCCTACTCTCGCCATAAGCTCGAGAAAGTTAATTTGCATCTGTCTGTGGTTGCCATCTAGTTTTGAAAATGTGGCTTAAACAAATAGAGAAATATAAATATGTTGTATTATATATCTTTATCTGATATTATAAGTATTTACTTCTTTAACAAATTATTAAGCATTTATTTGTGTTCGTGAAAGTATGTACCATATATCATTCGAAAAAAGTTCGTAAAAATGTTAATTGAAATGACACCGCCCCAAAAATTAGCTCAGATGAATAGATTTTTAGTTTTAAAATTTCCTAAATCAGAAATTATTTAATACGTAAGTTTCACCAGAGATCGGAAAATGTGCACAGTGTTAAGCTTTCCAATTATCTCAAAAATATTTACTAATTTCTTAATTTCTCTGTTAATTATCTAAAATAATATCTTTTTCTACTTGAAGTATGCTTTGCAAACTCTTAAAAAGCAGTAAATATAGTGGAAGACGAAGATTAATTAGAGAAATATGTGATATACAGGGTGATTATAATTAAAGTTTAAGTTTCAAAACGCTATAAAAAAAGAACCACTGATGAAAATGATGTGAAATTTGAAAGGAATGTTATTGAAGAAGGCGGAACGAGTATGGCAGAAGAAAAAATTTAGTTTCAAAAGTTAGCAACAGATGGCGCTGTAAGCGGCAGAATCACGACGAGAAACGAGAAATGTTTCGTAAAACAACGGCTAAGGTGGAAGTTACACATTAAAACGCATTGACAAATTAGAATTGTTGAATAATTTATTGCATGACTGTACATATCACATCGGAAGGGACAAATCGGTGGGTTTCAAGAGTTTTGCGGCGGCATACCGCATAAGAACCATTCATCAAAGAAGTTCGGAACTGTCGCAAAACATGTTCAATATGGTGTCCACCGTTGTGTGCAACAAGTTGAAAGCGACAAACAGCATGTTCCACAACGGATCGCAGTGTCTCCGGGGTGATGTTTCAGAATGTTTTGCGAAATGCGTGCCTTTAATTCCGCTAAATTTGCAATTGGAGCATGGAACAACAACATCCTTCAGATATCCCCACAGCCAGAAATCACACGGAGTAAGATCAGGCGATCGGGACGGCCAGGCTGTAGGGAAATGACGGCTGATAATTCGAGCATTTCCGAAATGGCGCCTCAGCAGCTGCTTCACGGGATATGCAATGTGCGGAGGAGCGCCATCTTGCATAAAAATGATTTCATTCACACATCCACGCTGTTGCAGAGCTGGAATCACGTGGTTGCGCAAAAGAGACGCATACCTCTCACCAGTGACGATTGCGGTAACAGGACCGGAAGCACCCGTCTGCTCGAAAAAATATGGTTGTATGATGACTAATGCCGTAAAGCCACACCATACCGTGACCTTTTCAGGATGAAGTGGTACGGGGTGCGTTGCCAGTGGATTTTCTGTTGCCCATATTCGACAATTCTGGGTATTCACGTATCCTGTATCACGTATGGAAATGGGCTTATGGTCATATGGTCATATGGAAAGTGGATAATGAATGGCCGTGGAAAATTTCCAACGTCTCCCTAGCTGTCAGGTCAGAAGGAAGCAACTCCTGCACATGGCCAATTTTGTACGGATAGCATTGCAGGATGTTTCGTACCTGTCGTTTCGAATTTTTGCATCATTTTCTTTAGACCTACGACACACATTGGACCAACGCCTTCTTTTATACCCTTCAGTGTCCTGAATTTTTGCAGAGCTACTCTTGCACAATCATCATTCTTGTAATACAGCTTTACCAGCAGAGCGCGGTCCTGCAGTGAAACACCCATGGCGAATGCCTGAGTCGCGAAATGAGGAACAGCCTGGTACCTGGCAGCTTTATAACACTGAAATTTAACTAACATTTTAATTTACGTCTTCTTCCGCTTGCAGCGCCATCTGTTGCTAACTTTTGAAACTAAATTTTTTCTTCTGCCATACGCTTTCCGCCTTCTTCAATAACATTCCTTTCAAATTTGACGTCATTTTCATAAGTGGTTCTTTTTTTATAGCGTTTTGAAACTTAAACTTTAATTATAATCACCCTGTATATTGAATGAATACTCCTTTAACAAACTATGAAACAAGTTAATTCAATATTACTTATAACTTGTTAATCCGAGATTAACTATGTAAACATTATTTTCTTTTATTATTTTCTCAAGCCACAGTCTACAAACAAAAATCATTAGCATTTTGTTTAACATTTGAATGAATAATTTTCAGGATTGTTTCCAAGTTGTAACCGGGGGTGTACCAGAAACAACTGCACTGCTGAATGAAAGATTCGATTACATTTTCTATACTGGTTCTCCAGCTATTGGGCAGAAGATTAGAGAAGCTTCTAATAAATATCTAACCCCTGTTACGTTAGAACTTGGGGGAAAATGGTGAGTTCAAAACTTTAAACATCATTCATTTATTTATTTATTCAACCTGGGCTTAGATCCCCGGGTTGAATAATTTATCGAATTCGTCGATTGACTAACAAACTGATGATTACTTACCCAGCGGACCAGCTGTCTTTCGGCAGAAAATTGAAATGAAATTTATACTTAAAATTTTCCGTTAGTTTCCAGGCTTTTGTATTTATTTAGATTTTATTGTTTAAAATATTTAAATTTTAATGTTTTTCTTTAAAACATTGCATATGATTAATATTTGATTTGTTATGTTATTTGAATGAATTATTTTTATTTAGTTTTAAATAACACCAATTCCAAAATCTGCACCCCTATTCATTTCAGGAAAGTTGGTTATTGTAAGGTCATTAACTGCAAAAACTTGATTATAAAATATACCTCTTGAACAAAACAGGTAAAGTTTAAATCAGGAACTTCAAGGAAAATGGTCCAAGTTAAATGGCCATTGCTGATAACAAAATTTATAGGAAACTATAAAAATGCAGATGTTTTCAAGAAATTGATAAAAAATCTAGAAAGAATATGAGAAGCGTAATATACTTCCTTGAACAGCGCAGTGGCGATAAAAAGGTTTCCAAAAATGTCTGTGCCTTTCTCTGAGCTTTAAAAAAAAGTAAGCTTTGAAAAGTCGCCAAATGCGCGAACGTTTTGGGTATTTCGCCTCTTGATTGTCAGATATTTATTTTCATTCTTTCCATTTCTGGCAAGCATTGAAAGATTACATAATAATATTTCTTATAACAAAATAATCGTATGTATGTATGTAATAAGACAAGTATACTTAGAAGTATTGATGTTGTAGAAATACTGATTGCACAAATACCTAGAAATATCAATGGCATAAAACGCAGAATGTTGAAATGTTGGTCCATAATGAATAGGAAACTAGCAGACGAGGCAGATTAAATTTTCATTATTATTTCTCTAAATATTTTGCGGCCACAAATTACTTGTGCCTATTTCAAAATGTTTACAGTTTTGAGAGATTTGCAATAAAAAGAGAGGAGCATGCAGCAGTCCACTAGGCTAAAGGGTAGAAAACAAGTGCCTAGTGTTCCAGATGAAATCTTAATTCAGACTGATTTAGTTTTGTTTCTGAATGCATTTTAATTGGATAATTAATACTGCTTGTTCAGTTTCAAATATGTTTATACCTTATTTTATCTTTTTCTATAGATGGCGCTGCCCTCGCGCCAGATGTTTAATTCGTAATGTATTTTTTTAATTTTGCCATGTGTTTGTGGCAACAGATTAAATAAGACTAGTATTCGATGCTAAGAAAGAATGAACTCATTGCAAACAATTCTAACAGCTGATAAAGTCAAAATCTTATTCAATTCTTTTTACTGTGTCAAATTCAAGTATTTCCAGGTAACTATAAGTCGCTGAAAATTCAAGGTAAGCTAGTTAATAATTATTAATTATTGAACTTACCAACAAACATTGGAGGCACCGACGAGATTAAAAGCCGAATGAAATGAAGTTATTCGGAATTTTAGAACACTTGGTCTAAAATGCAATCAATTAGTCGAAATTCTTCTAATATTTGCGTTACAAGATAAGCTAGAAGATTCACAATTAAGTGGGAGTTAACGCTAGAGAATAAAACATTTCCATCTTTAAAACATTTTCTTTCGTTTTTGGAAAAACAAGCTAGAAGCCTTCAGAGCGTAAAGGGAAATTATAATATTCTTAACAAATCAGTAAAATCCATTGACAAAACTTTTTGCTCTTAAAACAAGTGTAAAGTTAAGGCAGGATTCTTGTGCACTTTTCCAATTACTACATCTTTTACAGAAGTGCGAGAAATTTCTTAAAATGAATATTGATGAGTGTTGGTACTTCATACGAAAATCAAACCTTTGTTTTAACTGTCTGAGACCAAATCATGGTGTATCCTCATGTCGATTCACTACATCTTGCAGGGCACGTAAACAGAAACATCACACAATTCTTTATGCTTTTCGAACTGATAAAAAACATTCTGCTGAAAGTCAAGCACAGTCTATCTCAAAATCAGCCTTTATATCAACCTTCGGCTAGTACCCCGGAAGAGCATCAGTTTTGCTTCACAGGAAATGTAAAAAATTCTAATTTAATTTTATTTGCCACAGCTGCAATAAGAGTAAAAAATAATCAAGGACAGTTTCTCAAATGCCGTGCTCTAATTGATAATTGTTCTCAAACATCTTTAATCACTGAATCGTGTTGTAATCGACTAAAACTTTCATTTCAAAAGTCTGACACTCGAGGACTTGATGATACGGTTACCGCACGTGTTACGAAAGTAGCTAATTTAAATTGTACTCCTCAATTTAATAACGAGGACTGTTTTGTTAAGGCTTTAGTAGTCAAAATGCTGACTTCAAATTTACCGAACTTTGATATGTCAAAATTCAGTTGGCCTCATTTGAAAGAGTTACAATTAGCAGACCCTTCTTTTCACAAAAGTAGACGAATTGATATCATTCTGGATGCGGATATATTCTTAGATTTAATTCAAACTGGAAAGATAGTGGGAAATCAAAACCAACCATCCGCTCTAAATTCAAAATTGGGTTGCCTCATTTCAGGATGGGTGTCCGTTTCAAACAGAATTCAAAATTCTTAATAAATTGTCATGCTTTAGTAGACATTGAAAATTTAATGAAAAAATTCTGGGAAGTCGAATTGGTTCCAGAAGTGAGTACACTGAATGATGAAGAGCAAGATGTCGAGGCATTTTATTTAAATCACACTAGTCGAAATTCTAATGGTAGATTTGATGTCAGTCTCCCATTTAAGAATAAAGCTCTATTGGGTGATTCAAGAAATCAAACTAAGAAGTGGTTCTTTGAATTGGAAAGAAAAATTCAACAGAATCCAGAGCTTAAAACTTAATATATACATTTAATGCGGGAATATCAAACGATGAATCATATGCAGATTGTTCCAAATGTCGATTTTTCAAAGTCATTGTCAGAGATTTTCTATTTACCTCATTTTGGAGTTACCAGAGATCAAAGTGAAACTACCAAATTACGGGTTGTATTCGACGGTTCTGCAAAGTCTGATTCAGGAGTTTCTATAAATGATGTTCTCTGTACTGGTCCAAAACTTCAAAATGAATTGTTTTGACTCTATTGGAATTTAGAACTCATTGTATCGCACTCACTGGAGATATTGAGAAAATGTTCTGAATCCTAGTCAATAAAAATGACGTTGATTTCTAGAGAATCTTTTGGAGAGAAAATCCTGATGAACCGTTTAAAGCAGTGCTCCACCCCCTTTTCTCACCTGCGACGCACAAAAAATCTTTCTGGAATTTCGTGGCACACTAAAGAGTTCCGAGTTATCAAAGAAGTGCCGAAAAAATTCAAATGCTGACACACTTACAATCACACACACAACCACACAACAGTGAAATATATAAAAACATTTAAAATAGACATTATTAAGGGAAAAATTGTCATTGTGTATTAAATACATGATAAAAAATTGCAAAATGTCAAATACATGTATTTGATTGCGGCACACCTATATCCTACACATGGCACACCAGTGTGCCGCGGCACACCGGTTGCGGAGCACTGGTTTAAAGAATTCCAATTTCTGACAGTTACATATGGCACTTGTGTTCCATATTTGGCTATTCGGACATTAAAACAACTTGCCATAGAGGAACAAATGAGTTTTCCAGAAGCTTCGAGAGTCATACTGGAAGATACCTATGTAGATGATGTTCCCACAGGAGCAAAGAATAACGAGGAAGCAAAACAGTTAGTCTCACAAATTATCGAATTAATGAAGGCGGTTTTCCAATAAGAAAATGGGTATCTAATGAACTGTCAGTCATTGAATTTTTACCCCAAGAATTAAGAAGCCGAACGGACCTTTGGCAGAGGGAAGAAAGTCAGATCCATACAATTCTAGGAATCATTTGGGATGGTAAAGAAGATGTATGCAGAATTAGAATAAACCCACCTATGGATGGTGTTTTAACAAACCATCAACTTCTGTCAACTATCGCGAAAATTTATGATCCTCTTGGGTTTTTATCACCTACAACGATTCAGTTAAAAATCTTAATGCAGCATTTATGGAAGAAAAATATTGAATGGGATGATTTATTATCTAATTATATTTTCCAAGCATGGCATCTCTTTAAATCTCAAATAGAACATTTAGCTAAAATCAAGACTTCACGATTCATGATGAAAAATAGTTCTATTAAAAATATTTAGTTAATTGGCTTTTGCGATGCGTCTGAACATGCCTATGATGAGTGTTTTATCTAAGAACAATATTCTAAAATAGGAAATTCTACGTTTCATTGATTACTTCAAAAAAAAAGTTGCTTCTGTAAAGACAATAACATTACAAGACTCGAACTATGTGCAGCGCTTCTTCTTTCTAGATTCTATAAATTTGTTTCAACATCCTTAAAGAAGCATATTCACATTGATCAGACTATTTTATATTCAGACTCAAAAGTAGTTTCAGATTGGCTTAGTTCATCTCCTCAAAGGTGGAAAAGTTTTGTTGTTAATAGAATATCCAACATTCAAGATAACTTCAGAAGCTTCATGGAATTACGTGAAAAAACAAGAAAATCCAGCAGATTGTGCCTTCAGAGGTATTTCTGCATTAAAACTGAAACGTCATACTTTGTGGTGGCATGGTCCTCAATGGTTGTATCAGCATTATATGCTCGCTCTGCCTAGAGGAAGTATGTGTAGATGATATCAGATGCAAAGAAAAGAAATCGTTTCTGTCAGTCAATATCATCATTTCAGATACACCTGAAATTACTGCTATGTTAGAAATTATTTCAAAATACTCATTGTTTTCAAAATGCATTAGAATAATTTCGTGGTGTTTAAGATTCATTAGAAATTGCAAAATACAAGCTCAGAGTCGAAACCTCAAAGGGGTCTTATCACCTGGAGAGCTTGAATAAGCAACTAAATCTATAATTAAGCTCATTCAAAAATCAGAATTCAAGCTTGAGTACAACTACTTACAAGAACACTGCCTCAAAACAGTAAACTGATTCCAATGAATGTTTTTCTTGAGGGAGAGGGAATTATTAGAGTAGGAGGACGCTTAACAAACTCGAACTTAGATCACAATCAGAAGCATCAAATTCTTATGCCAAAGAATCATCGTTTCACTACTCTATTGATACTATATGATCACAAAATGCATTTACATATTGGTCCTCTACTTACTTTGTGTTGTATCCGTCAAAAGTATTGGATACTCTCTGGAAGAAAGAGATGCAGTGCGACGAATTCTATCTAAATGTTTGACTTGCTTAAAACTGAAGTCGCAACCATGCGATACCATCATGGGAGACTTGCCTTTGGATAGATTTGGTGTTGGAAGAGCATTTCTTAACGTTGGACTTGATTTTAGTGGACCTTTCATTACAAAACCTAACCTGACACGCAGCAGAGTAAGAATTAAGTCGTGCACTGCTCTTTTTAATTGCTTTGCCACTAAAGCAATTCATCTCGAGGTTGTTTCAGACTTATCAACACATGCCTTTCTAGCGGCTTTAAGATGGTTTATATCTAGACGTGGAAGACCGGTAAATCTGTATTCTGATAACGAACGAATTTTCGAGCAGCAGCAGCCTACATAAAAGACCAATCAGTGCTTCTCAATTCTGCTAAAATTCAAAACTTTGCAGCTGAAGAATCTATTGTATGGTATTTTATCCCACTTTCAGCTCCACATTTTAGAGAACTGTGGGAGGCTGGAATCAAATCTGCAAAGCAACATTTATTGAAAGTTTGCAAGTCAGCTATCTTAACTTTTGAGGAACTTAACACTTTAGCAATACAGATTGAAGCATGTCTAAATTCTAGGCCACTGACTCCTCTTTCTTCAGATCCTCAGAATTTAGAACCGCTTACTCCAGTACACTTCTTAATAGGTGCTCCTGTAACTTCCTCTCCTGAGAAAGCTCCAACAAAGTCTCTTTGCTTAAAGTCAAGATGGCATCTGATTCAACAGCTCCGTAATCAGTTTTGGTCAAGATGGCAGAAGGAATATCTGAATCAACTAGCACTACGAGAAAAGTGGACTTTGCGTGCAAAAAATATTCAAATGAATGACTTAATATATCACAAAGAGGTTTCTTTTCCTCCTTTCAAGTGGAGTTTCTTCCTTGGAAGAATCACAGAAATTTTTCCTGGAAAAGACGGAGTAGTTCGAGTTGTTGAAGTAAAAACGTCAACTGGACTTTATCGACGTCCAATTTCCAAATGCTGTCCTCTTCCTAAGTAATCATTCCTGAACTTGAATGTTCAGCCCGGGGGGTGGGAGAAATGCTCAGTCTCAAAAATGTTTATGCCTTATTTTATCTTTTTCTATAGATGGCGCTGCCCTCGCGCCAGATGTTTAATTCGTAATGTATTTTTTTTTTAATTTTGCCATGCGTTTGGGCAACAGATTAAATAAAACCAAAGACTAGTATTCGATGCTAAGAAAGAATGAACTCATTGTAAACAGTTCTAACACCTGATAAAGTCAAAATCTTATTCAATTCTTTGTCTTCTTACTGTGACAAATTCAAATATTTCCAGGTAACTATAAGTCGATGAAAATTCAAGGTAAGCTATTTAATAATTATTAATTATTGAACTTACCAACAAACGCTGCTGTAAAATTATTATTGGTTGTTTTAGTTTCATTTAAATCATCAGTGTTACGTAAGTGTCATATAACATGGATTAGTTTCGAAATGACGCAGTGCAGAAAGAGTATAGAGAGGGATAAGAGGCTATAGCTAAGTTAAATTATAATTTATCTTTGACATATTTTTTACATATTTATCTTACATGTATGTGTTAAGCAAATATATTATAATATTGAAACAAATTTAGAATATCAAGTTAATAACAACGAGAGATCTATTTTTGAAGTATCTGTAATTATTCATTTATACCAACAGTATTTGCGTATTAACGCAACCTGTAGCAAGAATACCCATGGCAATTCTTCGGTTTTTAGCAAGCAAAGTCGCTATTTTTTTTTTTTTTTCCTTGTGGTGTGTGTGTGTGTGAGTGTGCACGCGCGCGCGTGTGTGTATACTACAAAAACCTTTCCAGTTTTTTTTTTTTTTTTTTTTTTTATTTTATTTTTTAAAGTATTTTTGTCTTAAACTAAGTTTTAAAATATGCGCTTATAGAATTCGTCTGTAATGGAAGGAAACACGGCAAAATAATATTTTACTACGAAATCGCAAATGTTGAAATCTCTTTTTATAGCTATTGCTGTGAATTTCCACCGGAGTAAAATAAACAAAAGTAATTTTATTGATTGATGTTTGGAACAAATACCTTATTAAAACGTAGTGTATGTAATAATTTGTGTTATGTAATAAATAATTTTTTGCAATTATAAGTCATCATTCTTTTTCTTTTGTTAAAAAAAAATTTGGTTGCATTAATACGTAAGTACCTTACCATTTACTTTCATAATTTCTGCTGATAGTCATTCAATTTTTGTAACAAATTGCTTTAAAGAATAGTGGTCATTTATTCATAATACGCTTATTTTTAAAAATAATATACTGTTATTAACAGCCGTTAACCTAATAAATGTTTATATTTTTTCTTTTACTTAATCCATACCAATATGCATATATGTTAGCGTGAAAATTAAAAACTGATTTACATTTAAATTATTTCACTGTAGAGTAGTATTAATGACTTCGTTTTCAAAATTTTGTTTTTTTGTCGCAGCCCTGTATACGTACATGATGATGTGGACATGGAGCTTGCAGTCAAAAGGATCATGTGGGGCAAAGTCCTCAATTTAGGGCAAACATGTGTTGCACCAGATTATGTTCTTTGCTCAAAGAAAACAGAAAAGAAATTTATACAGATCGCGAAAAGGGTACTATTAGAATTTTTCGGTGAAGATCCTGAAACCTCTCCTGATTTGGCGCGAATAGTCAATGCTGAGCATTTTGAGCAAGTATTTTGTTTTTCATTCAAAATTCCAATTTGATAATATTTTTATTAACCGAATTGAACTTAAAATCTGAAACTGAAATTATATCTTGCCGTTATATGACATGTTTCTTTGTTTTTATTATTACTCCACCCTTCCTCTGTGAATTTCCATAGCCTTGAACATTACTACATCTACATCTTACAATTCATAAAAGTTTTACTCTTAGAAGCTCATAAAAGTATTCGAGTACGCGATAAACATTAATAAAGGATTCAATAAGCAGTTGTATGCTTTAACTTGAGTAAATAAATTAAAACGTGTAATCTAGGTGAAAGGATGAGGAGGAAAAATATACAGTTGACTATTAATAGCAAGCTCTTCATATTCTCTGAAGAGATTCCTAGAGTTAGTAAGGCGAAGTATTTAGGAGTAATGTTAAATGAAAGATTAAAATGGGGAGATCATATAACAGAGGTCAGAAAAAAAATTTTTACTGTTGTAAATAGTCTCATCCCTATATTGGGTAATTATTCTAGCTTAGACCTCAGGAAAAAGAGGCTAGTATATATCACGGCAATTAGGCCATTGATGACTTATGCGTCGCCGGCCTGGTGCACGGCTACCAAGGAGGATATAAAAAGACTTCAAATCATGCAAAACAAAGTCTTAAGGCTTATCACCCATGCTCACTTTTTTGTGAGCAATGCTACACTGCACTGTGACTTAAAACTAGACACTCTAGAACAGCACCTGAATAAGATCAACAGGAAATTCTTCACGAAAGCTCTGAACTGTGACCATATGAGAAATTTTGATATCTTTACCTACGAAATATTGAATGAGGACGCCAAACTGCGCCCACTTGCGGCCCACCTTAACAGGGATCCGAACTTTCCCACCTAGTGCCCACCTGTAAATAATGTAACTAATGTGTTTATTAGCATTCTTAATTTTGTATCTTACTCATTTATTGTACTGTGTATTTCTTAAATTCACTAGTTTTATTCGCATTCTACACTCATTTTATGACTCCCACTTAGTCACGCCTTTACCGGGCCGGTTACTTGCTAGTGAGCTCTTGCGTTGCTGGTCTTCCTATTCTTTATCCGTCTTTGCTCCTCCTTACGGCGGACATTATGTGAAGATAGTTCTATGTTATTGTGCCCATCTGGCATAAATTTGATTGAGCCAGATAAACTACTGATCTCAGTGGTTTTCTGGCTATAAGGTATCAGTCAGTCAATCAGGTGAAAGGAATTACATGATAATTTCCTTATAGATAAAATCATGAATGTCTTTCATAATGAAACAGTTGGGTATAATTTAGATATATATATACATTTGACAGTCAAAACATTACTTGGCTATAAAGTGTGTAACTTCAAGTTTAATAAAGAAAACAATACCGCATCAGGAAAAGCACAAAGTAAATTACTTTTATGAGTTGCTTTTATTACGTCTTATTGATTCTGCATATCAAAGCTCAAAGCAGTTTATCCTTAAATGATTCTCTTTGAAAGGAAATTAAACTCTAGTGTATTAGAGATAATTCTTAAAGCTTGTAATACAACTGTTTACTTCCTTGTGCGAAGGAAAGAAAGTATTGCAATCGCGAACAATTTCGGGTATCATAGTTCAACGAAAATATCCATTTTGATCTCTCTCGATTCTATTTGAATGATGTTTTTGCGTTACATGTGTACGTACTGACAGAATAAAGGACTCTTTTCCCAAAGACGGATTGTGAAATGGATTTAAAATGGATTCAAAAGAGATTTTTTCATGACGTCTGTACGTATATACGTGCGTATGTGTGTATCTAGCATAACTCAAAAACGAGTAGCCGTAGAATATTGAAATTTTATCTATGGGATTGCTATTAACTCTATTTCTTCACAACCGGTTTTCGTTGCAATCGGCCGCATCAGTTTTTTTTTTATTCTTATATGTTGGTAAATTGTGCATTTTTTGCTTTAAAAGTGATTGAATTATATTGCTCTTATGTTCCAGTTAAGGTTTTTATGCCTTTAGTTAATCTGCATGCAATATTTGTAGAATTATCGACAATTTAAAGTTGTTTAAGTTTCACTAAGACTAACGCCGCCGCCATTTGTTTACATTTGAATCTTAGTAGCGTAGTGAATTAAATTCAGTTTCTGTACCAACTTCAGTGTCTTCTTGCCGAGTCGGGTCAAAGGTTTTGTGCACTGAAAAATCTGTCTTTCTGCCTAATTTTAATTAATTTAAACTCTACTTTTAAACATAAAAATTGTTTTTGAACGGTTTTTAACTCTATTTGGTGCTTTAGGTTTTTCTGTATTTTAAAGTTTCTAATGAAGATGTTTTGAGTTTTTACGCATTTTTTTTTTTTTCTGAGAACTGAATTGTTTGAATGAGAAATGTATCTGTAACAAAATTCGGAGAAATAATTTAAATGAAATGTAGCAAAAAATTTACATAATTTAATAGGCCGTAGGAGGAAGTCATGTAGTGTTTGTTCACATCAGATTTTTTTATGACTAACAAATCGTTTAAATTCCACACGTTGCTATAGTGATTCTTCTCTATACTACTGGTCTGAATAAAACCGTGTTATGTAAAATCATGGAATTCCACGCTAATAATACTGAAAGTCAAAAACAAAATTCGAAAGAATTTTTGAATGCCATGTAGACCATAAAACTAACTCTAAAAAAAAAAAAAAAAGATCAATTAAACACTATCTTTTATTACTATCGTTACTATTACTTACCATAACATGAGATAGATATATTTGTTCAATCAATAAATAACTAGACCATCCTGCATAACTTCCAGTATATGGAAACATTGATTCAAAAAAACTGATTCCGGAAGCGTTAAACACCGCTTTCAAAAGCAAAGTCACATAAGAGTGAACTTAAAAACACACACACACATATATATATATATATATATATATATGTATAACATTAGAGGAGTGGGAAAAGAAAAAAAATTACATAAAACATGCTTAAAAATCATGATTAATAGCGTTTATGTATCATTGATTAAATTACTCAAATTCTAACCCTTATGTTTATTCGTGTTTCTTAAGCTCATTTGCATCAATCTGTTCACAATTTATTTGCCTACCAAAGCATATAGTAAATAAATTGCGCTAAAGTAGTATATTTCTAATGGAGATGAATATTGAATGCATTATGCAGATATAAGAGATGGATAGTTGGATTTATGTTTGCATCTAATTGATGTCTCTCTGGGTTTCAATTTATAGTTCAGTATTGCAGTAAAAGTATTCGTAGAAAGCTCTTTAATTTCCTCTGAAATTATCTTAATTTTGTAAGAATTATTAAAAAGTATTATTAAATTACTTCTTCAAAACAACGTGTTTCAATAATAATTAAATATATTTAATCAGTTTCTGATTTCTTAACTTGTTTATTTTTGTTTCTATACGTTTATTAGGAGAGTGATTAAGTTCCTGAGTTGTGGTAAAATTGCTGTTGGTGGAGACTATGATCCTAAAGAAAAATATATAGCTCCTACAATTCTGACGGACGTTAAGGAGGATGACTGTGTCATGCAAGAGGAAGTAAGTTTCACATTCATATTCGTTATTCAAGATGCATACATTACACAGATGTATAAATCATCCCTTGCTTTCATTCGAGCCTAAATTTAACATTGCAGTATAACATATAACAATGGCATCTGACTACTGCTGATATGAATTTATAGAAAATTATAATTTTCTTTTTCTAAATAATTGGCTTTTGCATTCTGTCTAAACATTTAGATAACGCAATATGATTAAGTGAAATTAAGATACGATTAGCATCTATTTTCTTGCTGGGAAGGTTGGAATGGCTTATATGGTAGAATATCGATAACTCGCACAGCTTATGACCAAAGTAAGTGTGAATTACAAAATTGTGCTGATTGTAGGCCATATCTTTTTGAGTTTTATTTATATTTCTCCAGTTCCAATCTTTGCATTGAAATTTTATTTTATTTATTTATGACGCATGTGTAACAATCGAAATGTGTCAACACTTTACGAATTTACTTGATCAATTCTGCAGAACACAAAATCATTACATTTTTAAAACGCAATTACATACAAAGAAAATAGTAATGCTAATAAAAGGATGAAGCGTAGTCGAAAGAAGAAAGGATAATTGAGATGAATATATTTTGCGATAAAGGATTCTTCTTTAAAAAATGCATCAAGTGTTATGTGTGTTTATATATTTGATATGTATCAACTAGCGAAATTACTTACTTACGAAAAAGTAATTTTTTGCTCGTGAATAAAAGGAATAATAAATAAATAGATGCGCCATTAACAAAATTCCTGCAGTAAAAAATTTTCCGAAATTGAACTCTTATGCTAATTCCACATTACATTCCGCACATATGTAAATGGATTAACAGTACTACTACCGTTTAATAAAAAGTGCTAGATGTTCCTATTATTATTTTTAACCCCAAGAAAAATATCTTCAAGTGTTATTTTTAGTAGTCTAGCAATTCGTAGTAAATCTAAGCAAGCTTTCTCATTGCCTGGAATATAAATAAACCAGCTTTGAATTTAGCGTCTGAAATTTTGTAGACAAATTAATCCATTACTCTTGTTAACCACATAAATTGGAAATTAATTTTTAAAGACAGGAGGACATATACACCCAAAAGAAGGGATTTATTTCAAACTGGAAATTCTAAAAGGTTCATGATTCATGTTTATGCCGCTTTGTGTAGGAAATGATTCATGTTTATGCCACTTTGTGTGAAATTAATAGCTTCAATAATATTCGCTTCTTCTATCAAAACATGCTATATATGTATTTTTGTTAAAAAGCGTATTTACGTAGTTATACAGAAAATTTTTCCTTGTAATTTGAAAGAGGAATTTTCTGATTAATCTGAATTTTTAATTACTGGAATTCACGAACTAAGCTTTTTTGGATTATCGGGATTCCGCTGTACTTATTTTGATACCAGAAACTTTTTTTTTTTTTTCATTTTGCAAAATATCTTTAACTAAAAATACGTTTATTCGCTTTGATTTTACCAGAGCATTTATTACCCTGTAAGGATTATGTTAATTTTATTAACAGTTAAATTTTGCGTTAAACTTCTTTTCCTATCGGTTCTTAATTTCAACTTACCACTTCCGGCCACAACGTAGTTTTAAGATCACGCCTGAACGCTAATGAGAAAGCGATATTTAATCGCGAAGTTCTTTCTGTCTTAGTGAGAGAGATACCAGATATTCTGGCTGCACGCGTCCACCTTTTTAGGCTACTCTCTCGTAAGCTATTATTACGCTCGGCCGTACTTTAGGCCTTTGATAGCTTCGCAGTCTATTAGCGTTAAGGGGCCAACTCTGTTAGAATTTTGATAGCTTCGGCTATATCTCTTTAGTTATGATTAGTTTAGTTTAATTCTTAGTGTCTTAAGTTCAAGCCTAAGTGTTGGCTTTATTGTACAACTCCCAAACGGAGTTTTGTTACACTTGATTGGAATAATAAAGGGTTATTTTAGCCTTCTGTTTTGTTGTTTCCTCTTACGCGAACTCAAGCGATTATTCACTTATCAGTTCTTAAGATTCTTCACTTTCAACGGTAACTTAGAATTACACAGTGGAGAATCCTACAACCCTTACTATCTGACAATAGTTGCCATTCGGAAAAGCTTAAGATTCTTCATTTATCATCCTTACTGCATGATTTTCAGAGTTGTCATTAGATATGGCGTAAGTTTTTTTCTTTTAGTTTAAAACAGTACCTTGCTTAACTAACTCAACGATTTAACCTTTCATTTAATATCGTTACGTTTATCTGTTCCTGATATCTCATAGATAAACCACGCCATCTGAAGGGATATAAGTAATATATTTACTTTTTAATAAATTATTTCTTGATTTTATGTTCAATAATATCTAAAGTTAATGCAATCTCTCAACTGCTCATTTCACATGCTCTAAAATACACTTGAGTAATAATTTTATATACATTTACACCGTTATTGTAATTAATTAATTAATGATCTCTTTAAACCCCTATATTATATAGCATCGAGCAGAATACTTCCTTGCACTTTGCCGAGAACATTCAAAATTAATGTTTGATATTGCTTCTATGAGACATTTTTTTGGACGAATAAAGTTTTAAACCTTTTTGCTTTCAATACATTTTCGATTTTAATTCCTAAAAAGCAGAAGTAATAGGATCATTTTGTGCATGCTGCCATCCTAGAATACGTCTTGTAGATTCACTGGGAAATGTGGTTTTCCTTTCTAATGAAAAGTGGTGCAATAAAATTCTCTTACGTTCTGGATTCGGAAAGGATAAGTGTTAATATATATCAATACGTTCTGGCACAAATGCCATTATTAGTACTTTTCGGACACCATGCATCCATAGGCTTGTGACAAACCTTGGCATTGGCAAACTACTTTTTAAAATGTCAAACAGAGCATAGTCATTTTGTCATCCATTTTTAGAGGGAAAAAATAAAATGGAATGCGAATTTGTAAATGAGAGGAATGGCAGTATACTTCAATCATTTGTGTACTTTTGCTTGAAACATCACCACAGAATATTCTTATTTAGTTTTACCAGGGTTTAATTTCTACAAGCAGAAGTACCGAAGCTCTGTGGCAGGCCATTGCAAAGAGTGAACAATATAAATAAAATGAGAGTTAATAAAACAATAAGTAACGAGCAATTAAATGTGTAGAAGTAAATGAAAACATTAGTTAAATTAAAAATTAATGGTACTGCTAACTTTTCTAATAATACTCCAAATCAGTTATAATACAAAATATCGGAACTCATTTTATTCGGGGCTCTGGCTGGTACTATGATTTCGCTCAAAAGCTGTGAAAATCGAAGCCGGGCTCTAATAGTCGGCTGGCTGTCTGAGTTGCATACATAGGTTTCCTATTTGCAGCAAAAAGTATGCATTGTACACATTATATAGCAAATTTAAATTATAACTGTAACAGCTGAATAATAAGGATTTGCATCAATTTATTTGGAATTTAACGCATGTAAGTTTCTTGTGCAATGCAATTTTTGCACAAGGATTTATAAAATATATGTAATCTGTTTAAAAAGTATTTTCTTATAAACATTTATACTTATTTCTTTGTTTTAGTGCTATTAAATCTTTATTTTTTTAGATATTTGGACCCATTTTACCAATCATCACTGTCAATAGTCCAGAAGAAGCAATAAATTTCATCAATAAAAGGTAATATTTCAAACAAACTTTTAAGCTTACTATTTAAAATAATTTTTTAAGTATTTTAGAATTATATTTTTTATTTTAAAAATAGTTTTCCTTCATTCGGATAAAATTTTGTTCCGCTTTAAAAAATAATAAAAAGAAGTAAGTTTTAATGCTTAACTGTAAAAAAAGAATTTAAAGTTATCAAACTATGTGTATTTTAAAGTTAATTGGCTAAACTTGAAAAAAAAATTAAGTAATACGTTTCTTTATTAGAATTATGTCGTATTGTTTACGCAAATCGGCATCTATCCTTCTTATCACATCTTAAAATCTCAAAAATGTTATCATTTACCTTTCAGGGAGAAGCCCTTGACTTTATATCTTTTCGCTTCAAGTAAGAAGGTATTAGATATGTTTCTCAGTTCAACGTCTAGCGGAAGTATGTGTGTTAACGACACCATGGTTCATCTCTCAGGTATTTTTTCTTATAAAAATTATACTCTCACTTTGTATAAAAGAGTTATTTTAAATGATAAGACAGCGAATAATTCTTTAAACTGAATTAGACAAAATTGTACGCTCTCACTTCCTTGTACGAAATAAAAGTTAGTATTACACTTTTACTTCCTTCTACGAAGTAAAAGAAGTATTGTAATCGCAAAAAACTGTAAGTATCATATTTCATAAGTTTTAAAAATATCTTAAAATATACAGGGTATCGCCTATATACTGTGCAGCCATTTTCCTCTCTTGAAATTCATGAAAAATGTCCGAAGAACTGTACTTGTACGATTCACAGTTTTCGAGATAAATGGGAAGGAAGAGTATGACATCATACCCGGTGCAAGGAAAAGGAACTTTATTGGAAACTTGAACTCGTCCACCATTGATATCTAGGCATGTATGTGATCGCCGTAGACTGATGTCAAGCTGTCGTTTGAATCGTATTGAAAAGGCTGCATCTAGGGATAATGTATTCCATTCGTGAATATTAAGATATGTACTTTATCTTGTGTCAATGGAATGGTAAATGCCTTACAAACTGCATGGTAGTATGCCTGTCGTTATTTATCATGCCATCCTCCCGATGGCAAAGTCATCAGTAAGTTGGATGACATACTGAAAAAACTAGAAGCGTCAAACCGACACACAGTCTCCACGATGTTAATGGAAGAACGCACGAAGGGCTTACTGCATCACAGGAAGGTGCAATACTTCTGCGGGTGAATCAACTCCCGAGCTGAGCACATGCGCCAAACCAAGCAGCTGAATGTGAATAGCAGTATTATGCACAGGCTATTACTTTGAGAGACTATACCCATTTCCCTACGCAACTGAGCAAAAGTCTACACTCTTGTGACTTTTAGAGACGTATTGACTTGAATGGCAATTGAAACAACAGGAAGCCGATAATGCTTTCATTGCACATAACTTGTGGACGTTTGAAGCATGCTTCTCTTCAATAATGGCAAAGCCATATATGGTCAGAGTCCAATCCTCATGCAGTCCGCTCGTAGAGACATCAGGCCCACTGGTCTGTAAATGTGTGTACCGGCATACTTAGACAACCCCATAGTTTGACCATATCCAGCTCCCTGAACGGCTCTTGGAACATTCGTATTTGGTATTTATCTATGATTTATTAACCGATTTCCCAGATACCCTTAGAGGCAATACATGGTCTATGGTTCCAACATGATGGAGCTCCGGCGCATTTCAGCGCTCCTGTGGGTGATTAGTTGGATATGGAATACATAGACCGTTAGACTGGACATGGGGGTCCAATTTTAGGCCGCCACAATCACCAGACACCTTTAGATTTCTTCATATGTGGCCACCTGAAGGATACCTCTTCTTTCGGATATCGAGAACTATTTACTACAGAAAGAAACTTAGTTGCTCTTCTTAGCGCTGTATATACTTTAACCCTTTGCGGCACAGTGTGTCCGGTCTGGATACACCTGAAAATTTCCTTCTGTACGCACAGAAAAATTGAATGAGAAAGGATTTATAGGTTACTATAGGTTACTCTGAACCTTCTTTATTTATAGTAGATGGCAGCTCAACACAAACCAGTCCATATATTTTAGCCATGTTTAGTTTTTTAAAACCCTCATTTTTCAAAGAAATCTTCCAGATTTTTTTTAGGGTATAAAAAGAATTGTTTGAAAAGAAATTTCTGTGTTATTTTTTTGGCTGTATGCTAATTTCCTTATTCTATATTATTTTTAAATTTAAATGTTTACCTTGAAATCTTGCCTAAAATCAAACGGCGAACCCTAGGTGTGGCCAGACGGGCTCACCGATAATCTAGGACAACTGAGAGTCTGTATTCTTTGTTTCTCTGCATCTCATCGGTCAGTTCATTGACAACAATGCTCGTTTCAGCACTCTTTTCGAAGCTCTATTCAATCAGTGTGCCACTTTGCCCCCCCCCCCACAGAATTAAAACGATAAGTGCTATCTTCACAAAATTTTACTTGTGTATTCCTCTAGGCCTAATTAGACTGCCTACTTTTTTTTTTTTTTTTTTTTTCATCAAAACTCCGACTTTAAAAAGTAGCGTGCCGGAAAGGTTTAATGGACACCACGCTCCTGTAACGTGTGTGCAGTTAACCTTTCCAATGCGCACGCATGCATTCCTCGATATGCGCGGTGGACTTTTTGAGCATTTTCATGTGCAAACATATGCAAATACCGTTGTTGATGTTTCTAATAAAGGTTTTTCCCCTTGCACAGGGTATGTAGTCATACTACTCTTTCGCATTTATCTCAAAAACTATGGAACGTACAAGTAGAGTTGTCTGAGCATTTTTATGCATTCGAAGAGAGGAATCTGGCTGTGCAGAGTTTGGGCGGTTTTGGTGGGCCATACTGTATACTAAAATAAATATATAAAAATCCGTGTATGGATTACTCCAATTAATTTTCCTGATTGTTACATTCTTGTTATAAAATCTGCTAAGCGAGAAATATATCTGATTTGTCTTTTCTCATCTTTAACAAACACTAGTTAATTATTTGCAATTAAATCTCTTAAAATTTATTACGTTGCATTTTTTTCACAATTAAACATTAAAACAAGCTAACAGTTACAATACATCTCTAAATTCTCTAAATCTGCCCGAGCAAGCAGCCGCCTAAAATATTTATTGTAGAAGAAGCAAACTACGAAAACTTTAATGAATTCAACTAATGTAATTTCACGGCCCCATGTAGGAAGTAATAATATTTGAAATGAATCTGAGTCTCATTTCTTTTAAATCACTGAATTTCTAAGCAGAATCAGTTTGAAAGAAACATTAAATACCTTATGTTTTGCTAAACAAGAAGGGACTGCAGGGTAGAGGATAAAAATATTTTGATTCGGGCAGTTGCAACATGTTTTTTTTTTTTTTTAAATCGCTAAGTTTGTTGATTAATTTTGAAAGACAAATATATTCGGCTTTGTCGGGTGGCAGTACACTTCTTTACATAGCTGAGTTCTCTGATTAAATTCGAAACGTAAATATCTTACCTCTTGCCGAGTGGAAACGTGAAGCTTTTATGTCTCAGAGTTTTTAATAAATTCCTTAAATTCGCACAAAATACGAAATAAATAAAAACAAATTCTTAGTTCAAAATTCGGGCTTCGAATTTTGAACTAAGAATTTACATATTCGGATAACGTATAGACATACATATTCGGGTGGAAAACTATGTGCATTCAAAATTTGGTGACTTTAGGTGTCGTTTTTCCATAATGCGATTAAATTCGAAGGATGAATATATTGCATTTTGCCGAATGGTAACACATTTCTCTCATAGTTTTTAAATTAAATTGTAAACTTAAATGCTTTACGGTTTGCCGGGTGGCAACACGAAGCTTTTACATCGCTGAGATTTTAATGAAAAGTTCATTAAATTCGCCCAAAATACGAAGTAAATACAAAACAAATTTGAAATTCAAAATTGGGTCATCGATGCGCACATTTTCGTCTGGTGGACTAGGTGTGTTCAAGATCTGGTAGCTCTAGATGCCGCTTTTTTCACGATGAGAGGAACCTACATGCATACAGATTCTTCATAATTTTTTAATGCTAGCCGCCTAAAACAGTTAAAAAGGGAAAACAATATACAATTTTAATGAGTTCAGTTAATGTAATTCCATTGCTCTAACTGCCAGTTAATAATAACTGAAACCAGCCTGCATTTATTGCTTTTAAATTGCTTAATATATAACTTAATAATAACATAAATTTGAAAGAAAAATTAAACAGCCCAGGCAAACAATATAGCACTGTGTTATGTATTCATCGGAGATAGTTTGGTTGGGTATTAACCCTTAAGGCCAGTAAAGGAAGAAGGAACAATTCAACAATCTTCACCCTGATATTCCATGAGGCATCAGCATTAAATCCCGATGCTGCTTGAGCATTTTTTTCTTCCTATCGCAAGAAATGATTCTGGATATCTGAAGCTGATAAGGCTTCTTTCTAGCTGATATTAGTCCAGAGTCGTTTTACAGCAATAGTGTAGTAATAAATTCAAAATTTAGACAAAAATCTTGCTGTCATGGCATTTTTTAAATTGTCATATGTGGAAATTTAAATTTCGCCTCTACCTCAGAAATACTATGACTCAATATCACGAGTTCCAACTTTTAGACCACATTCAAAATCGCTTAACTCGTATTAGATACGACAGTAAATGTATACCATTTTGTACATTCATAAACTTATTTCTAACTAAATAATATCTCAAAAATTTAAACACAAACATGTTTATTCTACTAACTTAATAACATTTTACAGCTGTTACCACTCAAAGCAAAACTAAAAAGGAAATTAATATTATCCTGTATGAATGTAGATGAACAGTGCTATACTTAACATACTTCCACCTTTTGATAACAGGATATTTATCAAAACAAATATTCAATTAAACCAAAATTTAATATAAAGTCCATTTCGAAGTTCACTTAAAAGTCTATTTTAAAGATCACTGAAAAGTCTATTTTAAAGTTCACTTAAAAGTCTATTTTAAAGTTCAAAGTCCTTAAATTTAGAAGGCACTTTTATAGCTCGACCACTTCATAATCTAATCTATAGCACTCATCCAAATAGTCGTCAAACTTTTTGCCATCTGGATCACAAATTAGTTTAGGTTTAGAAATTACTTTATGAAATAAGGATTTCATTCTAACCTTTATCCTTCCTGTGTGAGTTGACTCAATTATTTCTTTCTTAACCTGTGATTTAGTATAAATTTTGGAATTTGTAATCTCAAAACCTGATGTTTCAGAAGCACTTTTTTCAAGCTGTTCTTCACCACACTCGTCACTTTTACTTGGTCCAATCCTATCGTTCCAATCTTCGTTATCGGAATCCTCATCATACGGAAATTTTGAACATACTTCTTCTTGAATAGCATAATAATCATCATTAAAAAGATCTTTCGTTTTCTGGTCAACATTTTCCGGATCGCAATCACTTT